AAAATGAGTGAAACAGGTTGTCCTCTAAAACTTGAAAAGTTCAATTTCTTCGTGCAAATCGTGTATTGATTGTTATATCAAGTGTGTGTAAAGCTAAGATCCTTAGAAACTGAACAAAGACAAATATAACTTTATTTACAAAACACCACAAACAAATGCTAGAGAAAAGAACATTTGTTATGTTTACAAACAGATGTATAATCGGTATATATTCTGGTGCATCCTCTCCACACAGGGGTCAAATACCGAACCATTTACTGATTCAGGCGTACTTCGGGCCTTAGTCGTCACTTTCTTAATGGGTCTCGGTGTTTAAATCACTTGCCAGTCCTACTTCGATCATGATTTTGTCAATTTCCTTTTCTACTGCAATTTCCTGTTGCCAGTAGCCATCTTCAATGGTTTTAACATGTTTACAACTTTCAGACCATTCCAGACATTTTCTCGTTTATGCCAACTCTTAGCAAAGTTTTTGTGAACTGCAAGTTTTGTTTAGCAACATAATTTTTGACATTGGCCCAGTTCAATTCAACTGGGTTCAATTCTGCTTGGTAAGGAGGAAGAGGTAGTACATCATGGCCATGTTGTTTCAACATAGTGTCTACTCTATAGACAGGGCCCGATATGTTGGATTTTGCCAGACACAACAGTTCAGCTTTGAGCATTTTATCGTCAAATGCAATATTGCGCCTTTGTAGCCAAGCTTTGATATCATCTTTTCTGTTAGCCGTTGTTTGACATTTGTCCACTTGCTTACTGTGGTGAGGCGCATTATCAATAACAATGACGGAGTGGGGTGGAATGTGTGGGATAAATTTTTCTGCAGCCACTTGGAAAAATTATCAAAATTCATCTCGTCGTGATAATCTGCTGATTTGAGCTTTGAGTCAAACACAAGTAAAGCATTTGGTACAAAACCGTTTTCGGACCCCACATGAACAACAATAAGCCGAGGTCCGGTACCGGACGTCTGAACCCCATTTATCACAACCTCACCATCAAGCTGCAAACATTTTGGTACAATGCTGGAACAATGTTTCATCAACAAAGATGATTATTCGATGTTCATCTCGACATTTTATATTGCACGTTCGTATTGCATGTGCTTTGCAAGGATGTCTTTTCGTTCCATTAAAACCTTACGATTTGACTGCGTTTTTCGCCACCTAAACCCCATGTCTTTCAGATTTTTTCAAAACTTTCCTTTGAACCCTGGTAATGCAATTGGCTTCTTGCCATATCATATATCATATCTAGAGTAGGCAGTTGCTTTTGTACTCCATATAAACTTTGTACAAATTGACGGACTGCACACCGGTCAAAATCATCAAGTTTGTGCTTGGAAGTTTTGGGTTTGCGCAACTTATAAAAGTAGGCCTACTCGTACCCCTGTCACCTACTGCTTTAATTCGTTTTAAAGGAAAGACCAGTAGCAAGGCTACTTTTTGACATAGCGTCTACTTTGGTTGACTCCCTTGCCTGAGAATGAACGATTTGCCCATTCTCCCACGTGTTAAACAGAAGCGGTATCAAGTTCATGCCTGGTCAGCATATATTGCATGTGCTTAATCTACCCCTAGCAGCCAAGTCTATTCATCTAGATTCCCTGCCCCGCCTACCATATTTTTCGTAGCACCAGTGTCTAAAGTTAGACGAACAGGGTGAGGCTCATAAAAGGCGTTGAGGTATGGGGAGGGTTCAACACTCACACGTTTAATGCTGGGCTGATCAAATAAGAGGTTCTGTTGTTCTTCCTGATCATCGTCTGAGCACTCACTACTCTTCCTCCAAGCCAATAAACCTCGAACTGCCAGACATCATGCGCTTTTCATAATATCTGCAACTCCTAAGGTAATGGGTATTATAAGCTGGACGCTCAGCTGTTTTGCACAAGATACAGAATTTACCCACTGAAGGGTTACTTACTTAGACATCTGGTTGAGACTAGTGGGAGACTGTTTGTTGTTTGGGAAGGTGGACGTATAAGCTCTGAAGGCTTTTGTGTCTTCAATGCTACACGGGGTGGTGGGGTAGCCTAATGGTTAAAGCGTTGGCTCGTCACGCCGAAGACCCGGGTTCGAATCCCTACATGGGTACAATGTGTTAAGCCCATTTCTGGTGTCCCCCGCAGTGATGTTGCTGGAATATTGCTTAAAGCGGCGTAAAACCAAACTCAGTCAGTCAGGCAATGCTACACAGTTCGTCCAGCAATGACGACAGGCTTGTGAAATCTCAGGTTGGAGTGACGCCAGAGTCTGATTATGGAATTCAGACCCATACTTTCGCTTTGCAAGCTGAGGGAGACCAGGATGGATCAGCTGTAACCACAATAATCGTGATTTTCATGGTTGGGGAGATTGTCATCAGCGACTGGTTCCAGACCATGGTGTTGAATGCCACATCCGGTAGTGAGAAGGTTGTCTTCTATGAAAGCGACCAGCCTTTGAAACAAGTCCTCATGACGTTCCTCTGTCTGGAGTTCTATGTCAACACCATCTAGAAAATTGGTTGCAGTGGATTGGAACCCATAATGCTGCCTGACCTTCTGCCATATGTCATGAACAGAGTCAAGCTGTCAAAGTCAAGCTGCACATTTTCTGCGCTGCTGTTTTTCATTGTCCTGTAAGCCCCGAGTAGGATTAACGGCAGGGTTTTTCCCGAGAAAAGGGGAGAAATTGTCATCTGATGACAAGATATAAACTGGATTCTGTCGCCAGTTTTCAAAAGAGGTTATGGTTTCGTGTTTGGTCAACTGCCACTGCATTGGAGCCCGATTTTGAGCCATGATTTCGATTACAATAATATCACGAAATTGCAAGCACTCACGACGTTATTTGAACGTCCAATGAACATAACATGTTTGTGCAGGTTGCTCATAGATTGTGTAGATATGAAAATAAACGATGTCACTGGAATCCTATTTGTCGGATTATTGACGTGAGTAAGAATGCCGCTGCCACCACACCAGTGAACATAACCGATCTCACCAGGCGGTTTATTCGGCAACCATGATGTAACTAGTACAAAACTCGGAATGGTCAAGTATACCATTCCATACAAAGAAAAAGAAACGAACGCCGATTGAGCATGATGGCGTTGTTCTTTTGGGATTTTTGTTATAATTTTGCCATCATAATGCTGGTTTGTGTAGATGGAACAGATACACTGCGCAAAAACGCATAGTCGTTATATAGAAAAATGTCAACTTGCATGAATATGTCATGGGAAAAGTGGCTTGCAATGTTCTGAGGAATCGTAAGCAGGGAAATTGGCTACATACATGGCTTGAAGACGATCATTGGCATTCTTTATCTAACTGAAAGAATATCGTTATGTCATCTCACTGCTGTAAATCGAAACATCGCCATTGGATGTTTGGAGGCTGGAGAGTCTCTTGCCGTTGCACGTCGCCTCAGTGTTCTATCAGTCGTTTATCAGACCGATATCAACAAAGCAATTTTACGCAAAAAGTGACAGACCTCTAAGTGATAGACCTCTGATTACCACGGCAACATAGGTACATAGGACATACTAAGTCCCACGTAGGAGATACTAAGTCCTACGTAGGAGATACTAAGTCCTACGTAGGAGATAGTAAGTCCTACGTAGGAGATAGTAAGTCCTACGTAGGAGATACTAAGTCCTACGTAGGAGATAGTATGTCCTACGTAGGAGATACTAAGTCCTACGTAGGAGATACTAAGTCCTACGTAGGAGATATTAAGTCCTACGTAGGAGATCACCGTGGCCCTACTACGCTTCCGTAGCTATGTCGGTAGTACGTATTCTTTGCATTTAAGCTTGCTGCACAATTTTATCCAACGGAAGTTTTGTTATATTTAGTGTCATGAAAGGTGGTTAACCAACCAAAACCCCAAACCCACGTATGTCGGTAGAGTCAGAGTAAGTTACGTTACGTTGTGTTTGTTTACAGCTTTTCTTGTGGTAAATCATCGCACAGACCCACAAGATAATTTTTCTTGATTGGCCTGTTCATCTATTCTCGATACCTAAAAACATATAGTTAACATTGATTTTGCTTACAAGATGGAAAAATATGATCGAAATCAGTAGAGATTTTTTAAGCAAGTGATCATTCGTTACCGTTATAGCTCAAATCTAGCATCCCAGTAATAGTCTTCATCACTGTACATTTGGGGCCCGGCGGTCTGTTGTTATAAATGTGCCCCAACCAAGCATTCTGTATTTATTCACCTTGCCATAACATTATTCATTACCAGAACTAATTTACGTTACTATAATTTACGTTACCGCCATATTTGGAAATTTGGAATGTTTCGCGAAACTTTTGTGTTTTGTTGTCTGGTATTGCCGAAATGTCAAATGTGAATCAAACTTTGGCAAGTGAAAGTAGTTTTAGGTTGTTATCGCCCTTTATGTATAAGTAACGTAAATTACATTGCGGTAACGTAAATTGCGTCAATGAATGCTTAACGATGTAAGTTGTCTATGCACGATATTTTCAATTCCACCTCCACATGATCCATCCATGTGACTTATCGATGAACAGTCTGTGACTCAAACATTTATTGTTATCTATATATTAAATTTCTACCATGACTACGGTATCAGACGACGACTCACACTTCTTTGTTTTTCTTGTGTATTAAGAGTCTCGGGTACGCTAAATTCAGTGTTCACTGTAGCTTGACCGTTCCCGCGAAAGCGAAACCTAAATTGAGGAGGTTTAATCCAGATTTCGCTTTCCCGGGCCATAACCGTAAAATGCAACAGAAGGGAGAGACAGAGACAGAGTTTATTTTCGGTAAAAGGGCCGTAGGCCCAAAATACATTCAAAAAAAATTTCCAGAGTAGTCACTAGAACAAAAAGTGTGCCTAATATTTCGAATGCATAAGATATTTTACAAATTGAATGCTTCAGATTGCATTGGTATTGGGTACCGAAATATAATTATATTATTATGTTTTGCCTATTGCTCGTAGAGCTGAAGTATTCTTACTTGTTCGTTTTTTCACAGTCCCTGACAACACAGCCAATGACGGCGTTTACAGCAACTATCTGCTCGGCTTCAAGTCCAACTCCCGTTACTCTATGGATGTGAGGGTTGAGTCGGTGGAGGGAGAGACTGTCATCATCAAATCTGGGAACACCCTGTCTGGCAGAACACTCTCTGTCTTTCAGAGTAAGTGTTATATTTATACAGCAACACTTGACAACAAGACAAGAGTTTGTCCATTGTAGGCCATTAATTAGCCCAGTTATATCAGCATATAAGCTTAATGTTGGATGTTAGTCTGAAGGGATGCTGGTCTTAGACCTTCGGCGAAACACATGAACATGAGTTCTGGTGCTGACTAACCTTCAAACATAGTCGTGACGAACCCTGAATCCGAACCCAAGATCATACGTTTCTGGCATGCCAGAGGACCACAACTCTGTACAGCCTCAGAAGACTAGTCCACCCGTCCCCATCTACCATAAACGAGTATCACACAACCTTAAATTGGATCAGGTAGTTTAAAGACAAATGTACTTTAAGACAAATGTTCCAGTCGTATCAGCTTTTCTGTATCAGCCCCGATCAGCACGTATCGCTTATTCACTTCGATTTTGATTTGTTACGCCATAGAGCCCATCACTTTCAACAGTACCAAAAGCCTATTGATTTGGGCTTTTCATCTTCATGAGGCGGACACGCCCTGATTTAACTGAACTACAGCTGAACTACTAACTGAGTCCACGTTTTCATTAAAACCAGTATCTAACATCTAACTTGTATGCTTCATCACTCGGTTATCAGCAAATTTCAGTTGTCTTAATCCATGGTTGATGTGCACTTTTTGGATGAATGGATTTCAATGTTTCGAGTAATTTTGATTATGTAAGTGAATGCTGAGTAACGTCGTTCCATTAGCTATACGACACTAGCCTATAATAGTATACTCAACGTTCCATGAAACTGGAAAATGGTCCAACCCTTACTGTCCGACTCTTATGAGAAAGATAGGTTATTCATGATCTATCCCAAAATGACCCTCAGTGATTTGTAGGGATTGCGGGAATCGGGTTGTGATGTTAGCTCAGCTGGTGTATTGTCATCATACCCCTGCAGAGTTCATTGTAGGACGTGATGCCATTATTTATATACCATTGAGACACACGCGTAAAACAATATCCACTTTACTCACTCGTCAAACTTTCCGGACACGTTTACATATGACCCATGAAGGGAGGAAGTAACAGTGTTACTAAACGTGCACTGCTGTCACTGCAAACACCATTAAAACTATCATGCAACTTTTTCTGATATTGATGGTCGTATATTTCTCTTAGACACAACACCACCAGTGAGTTATGAAAGGATAGAAGCTTTCATCAGAACAGCTTGTCATCGTACCTATGTGGGGTTTGTTGTAGGACTCTATCTGTTATTTATATACCACGGTGACACAAGAGTAAAGTAACATTCATTCTACCCACTCCCCATCTTATCCAGACACGTACACATACGCTCCATGAAGGGAAGAAACAACCGTATTGGTACACGTGACTGTTGATACACGTGACTGTTGCAACCTTTTCTGATTTTGATGGTCGTATGTTTCTTCTAGACACAACACCACCAGTGAGGAATGAAACGGTGGAAGCTTTCAGCAGAACAGCTTCTCCAGATGCCATAGATATATCTGGCTATAATTCCTCAGTTGACCAGCTGGATCCAGGACGAGTCACCGACCTTGACATTGCTATAGAAAACAAACTCAATCAGACCGTGACCTTGTCTTGAACTGCTCCAGGGGATGACCTGAATGTCGGAAAAGGTGAGGACCAGAAGTACTAAAGGAAACGTAACTGTGGTTTTCATAAAGTTATATTAACCAAAATTTATTCCGAATTTAAATGCATATTGTTGAAGACATATCCTCGATGCGCGTTTTGAGCGTTTGCTGGACCCATGATAATCGCACATGTGTTTTTCTTAAATGTGTGCAACGCACAGTGATAATTTAGCCATCCCTTTCTTTAATAGTCAATAACTCCCACGCAATGCCAAGGTTGCTTGTAAATCATCGTTTGCGCGCCGTGAGGAAACAGGAATTTCATCCATATCAAAACATGTTATCATGAGATTCTCTCAGGAGACGTCATCTACAGCAGGGCAACATTCATGACATGACGTGGCCCGTCGTCCCGTGGTCCATCTGTCTGTGTATGTAGGCCCGTGGGGCGTCACCAGGACACCCGTATAAAGAAATCGATACCAAACTGCCACACTAACAGTTCGTACAATTCCTGTGTTGAAAGTAATTCATGGCATCCGGCTCAGGGAGCAAAACGCCCAGCCTCGGGGTGCAGCAAATGTGCCTCCACGTTACCGTTGGTACAACGTGATGTTGACAACGTCTGAGATTCAGAAGGCAAGCGTTGGACAGTAGGTTGTTCACAGATGAGTCAGCTCTAAAGGTCGTGCAAGGAACAGACCGTTTTGGTGACGGTTTCGTTACCACCATAGTCAGGTTCAAACTAAAATTGTAATCATATTGGGTAGCATCACAACTCATGAGAGATCTCAATTCAACATTCTTCATGGCATTTTGAACGTCGTACGCTACCGGGACGACAAATCTCTGCTGCCAATCATCTTCTGAATCCGACCCGCCGCTGCTGCCTCCCCTGTATCAACTCATCTGGTGGCCACATCTGATTTTGACCTTGTCGGTTACACCAACCCTCTTTTAGAACGTATTCTTCTGTCTCTTGTTACATTTTGTTTGTTGTTTAACGCCGCACCCTGCAATATTCCAGCTATATGGGTCTCCTGTTACAAGAAATTGATTATGTTAACGGTTTTGTTCAGGTAAAACTTTGATACTGGTATCTTCATTAATATAACATTTGCGCCACTAACATAAAGCTTATGTTTACACAAAAGCCGTTGTCAGAGATATACTTCTTGTTTTAATTTCTTTTACAATATGTTAACAGTCTTACATTTAAATCACACATGGCAGTTGTTCATTGCAGTTGCAAAATATGAGCTGCGGGTTGCGGTGACTTTTGCGAGCCTCAGAGTTAACTTCACACAAGCCTCGATGGTTATGAACGAAGATTTAGTCACCGGAAGCTTGGACCCACTTCCGGCAAGATCACAGCAAATGGTCACGATTCGGTTACCGATCAACTGGCCAAGTGATTTCTACGTTTTGGGCTTAAAGCGTTCGACGAAGCCAGTCGCCAGTCAGAGTTGTCGAACCTTCGTTCCATCACCTTGAAGCCTCTCACCATTCCGCAACAAAACCCTGCCCCTGAGCCTGCCCCTGAGCCTGCATCCGAGCCTGCCACCAACTTCTTGATATGGGTCGGAATAGGCCTGGGAGCGGCCGTAACTGTTGCAGTTGTACTTGGTTGTCATAGTGATCTGTATGTGCATGAGGAAACCTAAAACTAAGGAAAATCCGATATAAGGCTCTTTGGCAAAGACGGTGAATGTTAATAGCTTTTTTAGAATTTACGTAGACTAAGTATTACAACGTGATTATGTGTAATTTTGCACTGTGCATCTTTATTTGTTTCAATTACTTAAAACACATATCCTCACATTTGCTTGTCCGATGATTATCTTGTGAAACATGTTTGTGAAACATGTCGAGATTCAGTGCGATTCAGTCCAGTGCGCTTTGATGTTACGTTCTTTAGTTTTACAGATGAAGATGTTAGTAATTTTACATTACACGCTTGCATGATATTCAACTGACACTCTTTCTCAAGGTATTACTTTTTGATGTCAGTAAGTCTTCTTATATGTTAAAATCTAAAACCTTTTTATGACTGAGAACTGAGAGAATTGTTCATTTCCGGGAAGAATTGAAAATGTTATGCTACCAGTAAATTGTAGTGGGACTAGCTGTATGTTAAGATATTGTACAAAAGAGTCCCCAAAACGAAATGGTAAGCTGAGCCATGGTTATTAAACAAATGACACGTGTTATATGTATTCATTGATAAGCTGCAGTGTCAGGGACATTTGTCAGTGTCGAGAGTTGTCCTTGAGTCGCTATGCATTGTGCAAAACTTGATAAAGAAGTTGTTCATCTATATACCCCACGCTTACTTGCTACTTCTAATGCCTATCTAAGACCTTACAGCCAGATGGTGATTTTTGCCATCACAAACAAAATTTAGATGTGAGTAATATGCATTGCACTCATTTTCAGCGCGAGAGTTGTTTTAGCAACGTTTATCATCATAACGACGTCTGGCATCTTGAAACAGTGTTACATTGAATTGCCTGCTTTGTATCTTTGTCCTTAAAATACATTCAACAATAAACGAAAGGAAGTGGCAGACAGTGTTTTTAATGAAACGATTAAATGAGATATTCGATCAGCCGGAAACGATGGAGATTAGAGATTAACATTAACTTGTGATCATTTTGCCATTGATAACTGTCAAGGCACACGACGAGCGGGTTTGTATAGATGTATATCAAGAACACACCGAAGAGCAAATATATATTGTCAATGCCAGAGAATACACTGTCTCCATTATCCAGAACATTTTTCACTGGGCTTAAAGCGCGTCCCGGTGGCTCGCGAAACGGGTAAGCATGTCCTACCCAAAGTGAGTGAGTTCAGATTTACGCCGCTTTTAGCTATATTCCAGCGATATCACGGCAGGGGATTCCAGAAATGGGCTTCAGAAAATTTTACCCATGTGGGGAATCGAACCCGGGTCTTCGGGGTGACGAGCGAACGCTTTAACCGTTTAGCTACACCCAACGCTTATTGTTCAATGATAATTTCGTATGCATACCAACCTGAGTGTTTTCATTGGCACAAACATTGAGTACATGTTGCCTGAACACTGCAGATATCATTTACAGTTCTGGGCAGTACAGTACGGCACACTACAGTACAGGCGCAAATTATTAAAAACGTGATTTTGTCGCACGTACTAGTTATTCCGCAACAGTTTTTAACGATGGTGATCGTTAGTTGTATACCTGTTAAAGGCTCACACCACAATGCCAGGATTATCAGCCAGAACGAGCTCTTGGGATGTCTCAGATGGTGGCTTCGAAAAGCTATATTGTCAGAAGATTCGGCTATAGAATGCAGACTATTAACAGACTAATGAGCCGCGTCAGGCAGACTGGCCAGATATTTGACAATCTGAAATCCCAGAGAGTGAGCAACATCACCTGCGCATTTATCAACTGGATACACCCAGTATCAGCAGGGACACAGTGATGAGACGACTGCGTGCTGTGGCCATTCTGGCGTATCGACCATTTCAGAGGATGTCATGAACCCTTTCAACATAGACTGAATCTTCTAGGTAGGGCTAGAATCGTGAGACGCGGGGAACGTTGTATTTGGGTACGCTGTCTGTGGTGTTTGGCAACATGTACAAAATGTTGTACTTGTAAGTCACAATAATAACACGTATGAAAATATTTACAACAACCACAATATAAACGAGCCAGGTGTGGTCTATCAATTGTTACTTATTATATGGCTATATATATATATATATATATATATATACTTCTCTTAAAAAGTTATGACTCACTAGTGTAAATATAGCCACTTACTTCAGGCAACTGTTCTAAACCAAAGTTTGCTAAATATTTCATACTGTTTAAAGGTACTGTTTACACATGAACTGATGAATTGTAAAACAAATTCGTAACGTTGAAAAGATTATTTTCAGGAGTTCAGTAAATGATGTAAATCAGTGAAAATTGGAGAATTCTTTACACAACTTTACACCCCAACGAAGCTGTTCACATGCACGATATTTGCACATGCTTTACAGCAATTTGTTGCATGATCCCCGTATAATTCATCTGCATGAGGTTTGCAGTTGGTTCCCCCAAGTTAGTGAAGAAATCATTCTTCGATGTAACAATATGTGTGTGTGTGTGTGTGTGTGTGTGTGTGTGTGTGTGTGTGTGTGTGTGTGTGTGTGTGTGTGTGTGTGTGTGTGTGTGTGTGTGTGTGTGTGTGTGTGTGTGTGTGTGTGTGTGTGTGTGTGTGTGTGTGTGTGCATAACATATAGTGAGTGTTTTAAGTGAGATATTTTCAGAGAAGTATAATATACTCAACAATAAAGTCAAGGACCACCTCACTTAACAATATCACAATATCTAATGATTCATAATGTGATCCATATAATGCTTAAATATTGAATATCGGAGTGGTCCGGAGGGTGCTATAACTGCTGAATTTAAATATTATGGGACCACATACCAATATCATCTATCAGCTTAGTACGTACAACATAGCAACGTGGATTGTTGTTCATTTAATCAGCTATTGGCTGACAGTGTTAAGCTAACATCGATATTGCTCAGTTGGAGGTCTTTCCTTGACTTCCTGGTACATTTGTGTGGAGCCTTTCCGAGTTGTCCTCGTCCGTCCTGTAACACCATTGGGTAGTTGATTTCAATTACTTACTTCCTTGTTCACGCTTTGTGCTTGCACTGTTTACGACACAATACGTCGGTGTCGAATTTAGCAACATTTAGTTACACTCGACTGGTTCTCAAAAGCGTGCTTAGAAGGAACAGAAAGAAATAGAGTGTGGAATTCCCTGAGCGATGAGTCATCGCTATTGACAAGACTCCTTCGAGAAGCTTGCATAATTCATACGCTCAGACACATGTACAGTTTAATCCAACACAACATACGTTAAAAGAATTCAAGGGTTAGTACTTTATTACTTTGTTACTTGTTATCGAACATTCTTGTCGGAGTACAAATAGCAGTTGGCAAAACCAGTTGAAAAAATTAATACATATAATAAAACACTTCCAAACCCTCGTATGTTACATGGATCAAATGCAATCGATATCAGGCAAGGAAATATCTTTATGGTTTGTTTAAACATTGTTTTGACTGTATCAGAATTTATTTTTGCGACTTTCCTGTTCCCCACTCCGAGGACCCTTGAATGACCATGTGGGTATACTCGCTCATGGCAGACCTTTAGTGCCCCCTGCTTCTCGGACATTCGCATAGAATCGCTCTTCAGTAACCCATGCTTGTCGTAAGGGGCGACTAATTTTCAGACAGCCGTCATATAGCTGGAATATTGCTGAGTGCGGCGTTAAACAACAAATCAACCAACCAACATCAATTGTTTTTAGGTGATGAAAATGACCTACAACATGCACTCACTTACATACTTGATCATTTACATGCCACCGTGATACAGTTGGACATACATGTATTATGTCACCATGGCAGCGCCAGACACGTGTTCCTGACACGCGGGTGATGCACCAAACCAGACAGAGATGTCAGGACAGTATACTGTTCATGGTTAAAGTGGGTGATGTTTGAGTTACGATTGTGTAGATCGTTAACGTTGTTCATGTTTTTCATCACTGGTCTGTCTGTTATTCTAAGCCTCCTTGGTATAGGTAGATATGTATTAAGTGTGATGACACACCTTGTGCAACCTTAGTCAGGTTACAAACATGGACGTTTCGGTTTTTTCGAACCATCAAGTGCTACACAAAAGGCGCCCTTCAGTGTCACTGTATTTGCTTGTGGGTGGTGTTCTTTGTGGCTATGGAAAGGTATGTCGTGCTCGGGCAGTGTATCAGCCGTGTAAGGTGAGAATCAAAGGGAGAAAACTCTAAATATACCTATGGAGCTTTCAAGAAATGACACTTGGAAGTGACAGGAAGACTCACACTCGTGTGATATCACTTGGGATATGGAAAACTATTTATGTCAGTTATACCTGCAGTGATTTTAAATGTTTCCTTTCTTAATATAAGATATCTTTTAAACTTATCCAATAAACTTTGAACAACAATCTCTCATAATTGTCGGCCAAAAAAGCAAATAGGTCTACAGCGAGGACCAATCAATCTCTATGAAAGTACATCTAGTCAGTCCAAGAGAGTACCCCAAAATACAGCACTTTGAAATCCACCAAAAGAAATATGCATTTTTCTAATGGTTTTGGGGAATGTTGTCACATATTCATAACATCAAATCCTATGTACTTTCTTACTGACCGAGTGGCAAGTGAGAGTTTCCTAGTTCAGGGAAATGTGGCAGTGTTCACATCAGCAGGATGATGCCACAGCGTTGCACTATCGCAATATGTGCAACTTTTGGACAGTGGCTGCTACATCAAGGGCACTCACTGCAGATACACTTTGCCATTTCCAAGAGACTGATAGCATCGTGCATTTTACAAAAGAGAAACCTGTTTCTGAGTTTGGTCCCAAGGAGTCACTTTTTGTAAAAAGTAAGGACACAGTAAATGCCTGTGATTTCAATTTTGCTGAAGATGCGTCATGTGATCACATATTCTCCCTTCTGCTGTACCCGTTAGGCCAGTGTAGGTTTAAAGAACCCACAAAATGTTACACAGCTGTTCACAGTGGCACGTTTGCTACTTTTAAACAGCAGTTGAATTTTAAGAGACATGATAGTGCAGGGTCGGATACGTTGCTTAGTGTTGTAGATGTTGTGCGTCAGAGTCAATGCTGTATGAAGACAATGGATACAGTCTACTGATGACCATCAATACAAAGCAACACAGGATCTTCGCACGATGGCAGAGCGTTGAAAATCGATATCCGACGTTATGTTCAGTGACAACTATTTGCTTCTATTGTTCACGTTCCATTGTGTGGATATCATTGTGTTGACACCCGTCTATACATACTACTCCAAAAGCTCACGTATCAATGTATGTGTTTTGTCTGTCTGTTTCTTTGTTGTTTAGCTCTGTAATCTATTTTCAAGCAGACATTTTAGTGACTGACATCATGAACATCAATCACCGATATTTGTGTATGATACGATTACAAACATCATCCAAGTCTGACCACTCGAGCTCCTCAGTTGTCTCAGTACAGGGTCCTACGACCCTAGGGGGAGTTGGAGAATCTCATTTTTCTCAGGGGCATAAGGGCGGCTTACTCTTGCCTCTCATTTCACAATACATCTCAAGTTACAAGCAGATCAGAAAATGTTTGGAGATCATTTCTATCCTGGACACTCAGCCCCGTCCTATTTCGGAAACATGATCATTATTGCAGTCAGGTGGATATTACCATCTCTGTCTTCATTACTATAATCACTGTTATATTATGCGACTGCCTTTGGATTTGTACTGACATTCTTTTTTGTACTACCACTGTAATATCTTCAGATGCCTTTCAGAACACTTTATTGTTCACACAATAAGAGACGCGTATTAACTCTGACATTGTAGAAGGAGCATGCTCGACTGCACCTCAATCAAACGATTTTTTAAGGCAAAGCATGAAGTGGCTTGAATATAGAGTTGGCCATTACCAAATTGAATTCAACCCTATTATCAAACAGTCTCGCATAGATTTCTGCCATTGTTGATGTTAACGGTATATACACATGGCAAAAATTATCGCAACACCCCATATCGTGTATGGTATCAGATTCTGGCATACAATCCTAAAGAAATCACATAAGTATCAATAAGCGAGCACAATCTCAACGTCTGGTGTAACCTCCGCCAACTGCAATAACATCCCTGACCCTCACCTCACCGACTGTATCAGACGTTGAGTTTGACGTCGAGGTATTGCGTACCATACTTGATGTAGGGCTTGATGGAATATCCCTCTGACGTATTTTCCCAGACATGCTCTATTGGACTAAGATCTGGACTCCTGGCGGGGCAAGGTAGAGTTGCTACCGCCGTTTGACCGCGTCAACAACGGTACGCGAACGATAGCATACACGTCCATGAAGATGGGTCTTGTGTTCAGAGGATGGAGATCGAAGTGGGGTACAAAAACTCTGTCTTGGATTGTCAGTGGTATACCGTTGTCCATTCAGATTTCTTTACTATTTCAAGATTACAGTCTTCAATGGACCCTCTCCAAACGGTATGTGCTTTAAGATATTCCGTTGAGTACTATGCAGTGTTTCTGCAGCGCATTACACGAACTCGGCCATAAGTAATGAACACTAGAAATCGTCTTTCGTGTGGCCAGTGGACCCTTCCCCATAATCTCAAATTCCAGTGATTTCGAGCTTGACACAAAGCCAGCCGTGCTTCTTTGTGCTCTCAGGGTAACAATGGACGTCTGATCGGTCGATCGTTTTTCTCTATATTGCAGTCAGTTCTGTTAGACAACGACCACGTGGGAGCCCCTCCGTTTTAACACGCCACTTAACATGAACGGATGAAGTCTTGTGATTCTTAGAAGGGCTGTATCCTCCATAGGAGTTGCCACTCGTGGTCGACCTGAGCATTGACTGTGATTAACGTCATTAGTTTGCTGATACTTTCTGGCCAATCGGTTGATAGTCTGTGGCTGACAAGCAGCATCTCTTGCAACAGCCCTCAATGACAATCGATCATTCTGCATTTCAGTAACTTGCCATTATTGAGAAGTTGTCAGTTGTGAAGACCCCCATATTTGCTTATCAACAAATCAACAACGAAATCAACTGATCGCCTTATCGAGCTGTCAGAACAATTTACTGGAACATGATACTTGCTTAATGACGGGTGCAACTATTACACATAATGCTCGCCTTTGATCGTAACAGGTGCATATCTAAAATCAACGCATGGGGTACGCGGAGTGTCTATATAAACATAATTATGATGTGAATATAAATGACTATATCCTGTTAAAATCATAGGTGTTGCCATAGTTTTGTCCATGTGTTGTTTCATTGATGAAGCTCATTAAAATACCCAATGACTCTCTTCCCAAGTTTTGTTGTTGTTGTTGTTGTTGTTGTGAAAATACATGAAAACCCGTACATCCTGCAGAAAGTGTTTTATCAATGAACAAAGATGAATCCAATTATATGTTAATAAATATAACAATTGCTATTTCAGAATTAATCAAGGGCAACTGCTCCCCGGAATACTCAACCAGGTGCAGGAATTGTCTGTAAATATGGGTTACTGATGTTTATATATTGCTTGTTGTCTGGTTTATTTACACATTGAGATTGCAAGTCAGAAATATCGACAGATTAGACAGACAGAGAGGCAGAGGTTATTCTGGTAAACATCTCATGTTTCTTTTTTTTGTATCAATTGAAAAAAAAAGAACAATTAATGAATATATGAACATTAAAACATGATGTGAAGGAATCTCTGGAGTATCCATAAATGCGTCAAAATTGTGTACTTGACGATCAAATCTACTCTACAACGATCTCACAGAAAAACCTCTGATGCTGATAGTGGCAGCTTGTATCGTCCATTATCACCTCGTTGCTGTCGCATACAGGTTCAAGTTCCATGCAGTTGGACCTGGGGTCGTTCTTTATGAAGTTGGCAATGTTGGTGTTGTCCAACACCCATACCCAACGTCCAGTATTAGTATTGCGTTGACCTCCGATGTAGAACTCCTCCTTACGACAGTATCCGCTTCTTTTGTCTATAATGCAGAAAATTAACATCTCTGTCTAATATTTTAGAAGGTTCAAATGCAGGGATGTATCTTTATAACCTAATGGCAGGCATTTTTATTCCCCAAAACTCTAGCCTCAAGTTAATCACCAAGCACAAGTACATGTACGAAACTAGTGTATGGTTATAGATATGTACTGATGTAACAGTGGTCATCAGAATAGTGTAAAGGATAATAGTACTTGTATTTTTCTTCTCAGCATAGGACTTACAATAGCTGGACCTGGATGATCTAGATGACCTGGTTGACCTGGTTGACCTGGATGAGCTGAATGACCTGGATGGCCCGGATGTCCTGGATGTCCTGGATGAGCTGAATGACCTGGATGGCCCGGATGTCCTGGATGTCCTGGATGAGCTGAATGACCTGGATGGCCTGGATGGCCTGGATGAGCTGAATGACCTGGATGGCCCGGATGCCCTGGATGAGCTGTATGACCTGGGTGACCCGGATGAGCTGGATGACCCTTTGAGAACGCCTCCGATAACGCTTACCATAACCTTGCGCCTCTTTATGGTGTCGACTTTAATCAAATCTCCACCCTCCACGCGACACTTTTCACGTGCTTCCATCCACGAGATCTTGGTGTGGTGCAGCTTATAGCAGATGCCGACTTGACTGTATGTGTAGCCATCATGGAGGCGACACTCTGGAGAGAGGCATCTACTTCATGAAACATATGCTGCACAATGACACTTGATGTCCGTGTTGCAGATTAGAAATGTTGGCAAAAACGTTCAAATTCAGATATAATTTCGGAAATACTTCTTAATGAGCCATCGAAAGGTCATTTCAGTGCACAAGTGTCAAAGAAGCGGGAAATCGCTGTGCAGTTAAGCCCCTTACGATAGCCCGATAGTGGGTTCGATCATTTTACTTCATTATTATCAATGGTTTGTGACCTTTACAGAAGCTATACATGTTTAAGGCTATCACTCCCTTATACAACTGCACAAAGCGTCGTAATATATATAAAACGCACTCCTCCATTACTCGTTAACGCACCCACTCACTAACGAGATCGGGTGTTCAGGCTCGCTAATTTGATTGATGTATGTCACCGTATATATCAGTGCACATGATGGCACTAGACTGATTGCTTGATCCAGACTCGTCTAATTAATTACCAACTTTGCTCGCAAGCAAGCGCTTACAACAAATAGTGCACTGAGAGTAACATAACATAAATGGCCACTTGTGTGTGGTAAAACACCGTATATAACGTAATGTTGTCTCCGATAGCGAGACATGTTAACGTTAACATTAACATATTATCATATAAACCCGATAGGAAAATGCGCTTGATGTCACATGTCTAACAGAAAAAACAAACACACATTGTTCGATGACGTCATGAGTAATTGTCATGGCTCAATGTGCGACCATTTCCTATCGGTTTTCATTGTAAGTTTCGCCAGTGTCAGAAAAATTAAAAATGTTTCTACTGTCACACTGGGGATCCACACGAACACATATTGAATACATCACATGACTATTGTTAAATAATCATAGTTTACTATCATCAGTTTGACCAGAAGTGATCGCCCAAGCGGTTAATATCTAATACGTACATTCTCTTGAAAAAGAATACTCATGTATAGGTGGAATACATAGAAAGAAAACAATTACCTGATGTTAGGTTGCGATCTGAAACGAACATAAAAGTGCATACTATTAGCCCAATAATTGGCATAATAACAAAATTTCAAACGATTTAGAGATGTACGCCATTAAAAACTGCCACATGTACTAGATACTAGTAAAGAAATACCATGAAAATGACTCCTCTGGCGGCGTTAAACACTAAACAAACAAATAATGACCTTTCCGATGTGTACCTGGACATGTAAATCTTAATGCAGACCCTGTGAATCTCCTTGAAAATACTGTATATATGTCCACTTGTGTGGGGATGTGTTCAATTCTGTGGATTTTTCGTTTAAAGACAAAGAAGAATAAACCATAATAACTGTTTCGATTCATTCCACATTAAAGGGTATGTACACGTATTCATATTTTCCCAAAATTCGCTAAAACACACATAAAACCGCTTGCGTATCAGATTCAGCCAGCCGATTCAATTGCCAATTCATTTGTTATGTTTTATACACGAAAGAATCCGAATGTAAATATGATACAGCGGAAAGCAAAAATTAAGCAATCTTACTTCATTGGAGACTAATTGGTGCGTCTATGAATAGTGTCCAAAGGCGAAAATTCTCTTACACTATATCTTGAATTTGAAGGCGCTGGTTACAAAGAATTCCAAATGGTGACGGCTGGCATGGTGATCCGTCGAATTTCTGATTTCAAAGTAGTAAAATACATTTGACGGATGAGCACTGTCATCAAAGCTATTAATTAGTTATCAAAACATTGGATCCTACCAAGAAAAACGACGCAAGGGGTGTTGGATGGTTTGACTCTCTTTATTTTTGTACTTTTGTACAGTATATATCTTTGCCTACTCATATGATACAATGAGAAATTGATACATTAAATATATGTTTGGACTCTATATATTTTTGTACTTTTGTACAAAATTGAAATTGATGAATTAACCCTTAAAATCTCAGGTTTAAGATTTAGAAAGAATTTCCATTATAAAGTAGTTGATGTGTTGCATATACCCTACTGAGGACGGATGGGGTCCATGCAGACCCCACTGACACCTCTTTGACCAGCATTTAGAATTCCTCAAGGCAATCAGATTCATTTAACCTTTTTGCGGGTCTTCTGTGACTTGTGTGCCCAGAGCACATTCTAAATGGATTAACTAAACTTATTTGAACTTATGCAACGGGAGCTTGGTGGTGATCTCTCTGATGAAAGTGATGGTAGATCTGATGAAGATTATCAACCATCTGAAGGATCTGAAAGCTCGGATTCCTACTGTGAATTAGTGGGTGACGCTACTTCCGACCACTTAATTAATGAACTTAGACTCTCCCAGTGTGTTAACACGGTCTGAAATTCGACCGATTAGCACAGAACCATTCAAGCATGATTCGAAGGATCGGCACTGCTGACTGTTTAAAATTCGACGGATAAGGCCATAACCGACTAGACATCCCGAAGTATTCAACAGTTGACTGCTCAAGCAAATTGGCTGCCGAAATGCCAGCAGGCGAAGGCGACCTCCAACGCATATAACTAAAGAAGCAAATTGGTGAAAGCTATTTCACGACGTTATTGCGAATGAAGGTGACAAAGAAATTCAAAAACCATGATCGTGACTCAACAAATGAGTGTGTCTGTCGACTAATTGTACTTTGGCTAGGATGGGAATCGCCTTGTAGTGTCTAAGAATTACCTTTTGTTCACAACGAGTACTGATGTACAGGTGGAATATAGAGGACGAAAGCACTTACTTTGCGTTGGTCAGATCGGAAAGAACATAGTATTACAGAATAGCAGCCAAATAATTGGTAGCATAAGAATATCAGAAGATTTAGAGATTTACAACATTTAAAACTGTCACGTACTCCAAACTAAATAGAAAACAATATCATAACAATTACCCTTCTGGTGGCATTAAACAATAAACAAACAAGCAAACAATGAAATGTCCGAATAGTATCTGCACAGAGAAAGCCTGTTAAATCCAGAGTCTGGACCCTTATACTGACTTAACAAATGTTTGTCTCTGTCGACTTATGGTGCTGCGGCTAGGATGGAAATCGCATTTTGCTGACAAAGCGTTCTGATGTATAGGTGGAAAATAGAGAATGAAAACAGTTACCTTTTGTTGGTCTCCGATCTGGAAACATCATAAAAGTACATACTATTAGCCCAATAATTGGCACCATAACAATTTTAGAAGATTTACAGATTTACAACATTAAAAACTGTCAGACGTACCCGAAACTAAATAGAAAAGGATCACAACAATGACCCCTCTGGTGGCATTAAACAATAAACAAACAAGCAAATAATGATATATCATGCTTCAAAAAGGTATAAGCATCTATACCGAAACGTCGCAATTGTACAGTAAACAAGTTGATCATCCATAAACACTTGACATTCCTATTGCTTACAACTCTAGAATGCCTCCTAAACAGTTCAAGCAAATAATGACCTCTCCGATGTGTATCTGGATAGGGAAAACCCGTTAATGGAGACCATGGACCCTATATTCTGAAATAAAAAATGTGTGTCTCTGTGGACTTATGGTGCTGCGGCTAGGATGGAAAAGAGATGCAGTTAGTATCTAAGAATTAACTTTTGTGAACTAAGAGTACCAATGTAGAGGCTGATTATTAAGGACAAAAGCACATACCTTGTGTTGGTCTCCGATCTGGAAACATCATAAACGTACATACTATTAGCCCAGTAACTGGTATCATAACAGTTTAAGAAGATTGAGAGATTTACAACATTAACAACTGTCACATGTACTAGATGCTAGTAAAGAAATACAATTATTATGACCCATCTGGTGGTGTTAAACAATAAACAAACAAGCAAATAATGACCTCTCCGATGTGTATCTGGACAGGAAAACCCCGTTAATTGAGACCCTGAACCCTCATACTGACTTAACAAATGTGTGTCTCTTTCCACTGATGGTGCTGCGGCTAGGATTGAAATGAACTTGCAGTTAGTATCTAAGAATTAACTTTTGTGCAGAAAGGACAAAAGCACTTACCTAGCCCAATAATTGGTATCATAGCAATTTAGAGATTTACTACATTAAAAACTGTCAGACGTACCCCAAACTAAATAGAAAAAAGATCACAACAATGACCCCTCTGGTGGCATTAAACAATAAACAAACAAACAAATAATGATATATCATGCTTGAAACAGGAATAAGCATCTATACCGAAACGTCGCAACTGTACAATAAAGACTTGACGTTCCTATTGCTTACAACTTCTAGAATGCTTCTTAAACAGTTCAAGCAAATAACGACCTCTCCGATGTGTATCTGGATAGGGAAAACCCGTTAATGGAGACCATGGACCCTATATTCTGAAATAAAAAATGTGTGTCTCTGTGGACTTATGGTGCTGCGGCTAGGATGGAAAAGAGATGCAGTTAGTATCTAAGAATTAACTTTTGTGAACAAAGGACAAAAGCACTTACCTAGCCCAATAATTGGTATCAGAGCAATTTAGAGATTTACTACATTAAAAACTGTCAGACGTACCCCAAACTAAATAGAAAAAAGATCACAACAGTGACCCCTCTGGTGGCATTAAACAATAAACAAACAAACAAAAATGACATCTCCGATGTTACAGAAGATTTACAACATCCAGAACTGTCACATGTACTAGATACTAGTAACGAAATATAATGATAATGACCCTCTGGTGGCGTTAAACAAAACAAACAAGCAAATAATGACCTCTCCGATGTGAACAGGGAAAACACGATAATCCTGACCCTGGACCCTCATACTGATTAAACAAATACGTCACTCTGTAAACTAACGGTGGTCTGACTTGAAAGGAAAAACACTTTCAGTGAAAAGCTAAGAATTACCTTTTGTTGACAAAGAGTACTGATGGAATATAAAGGACGAAATCACTTACATGGCGTTGGGCTGCGATCTGGAAAGAACATGAAAGTGCATAGATCTACTATTAATCCAATAATTGCCATAATAACAATTTCAGAAGAATTAGAGATTTACTACATTGAAAACTGTAACGTAATTCAAACTAAACAGAGAAAGATGATGATAATCATCCCTCTGGTGGCGTTAAACAATACACAAACAACTAATGGACTCGGCTTTGTGTGGCTATCTGGAAAGAACATAAAAGTGCAAAATATAAATCCAATAATTGGCATCATTACAATTTCAGAAGATTTAGAGATTCACTACATTAAAACTGTAGCATACTACAAACTAAACTGAGAAAGATCGTGATAACAATCTCTCAGGTCTCGCTGAGCAATAAACAAGTTGATAATGGCCTCGGCAATGTGTATCTGGACAAGAAAATCCCCGTGAATCCAGATCATGGAACCTCATACTGATTTACCTAATGTGTGTCTCTGTCGACTGATGGTGCTGCGGAAGTCATTTTTGTAGTAATTATCTAAGAATTACTCGCTAAAAAAGAGTACTGACGTATAGCTGGAATATAAAGAATGAAAGCACTTACCTTGTGTTGGCCTGCCATCTAGCAAAAACATAAAAGTACATACTATTAACCCAATGATTGGCATAATAACAATTTCAGAAGATTTAGAGTTTTTCTACATTAAAAGCTGTCATCCGTATTCCATACGTTACTTGTAAATATGATAATAATGTCTCCTCTGGTGGCGCCAAATAATAAACAAACAAATAATGGCCTCTCCGATGCGTATCTGGGCAGGGAAAACCCGTTAATCCAGACCTTGGACACTAAAACTGACTTAAGACATGTGTGTCTCTCTCAACTGATGGTGCTGCGGCTAGGATGGAAATCGTTTTCCAGTAAGTATCTATGAATTTCTTATTGATAAAGAATATTGCTGTGTAGGTGCAATATAAAAAGCGAAATCACTTACCTGCCTTTTGGTGGCGATCTGGAAAGAACATAAAAGTGCATACTATCAATCCAATAATTGGGATCATAACAATTTCAGAAGATTTAGAGATTTATTACATTAAAACTGTTACATACTCTAAACTAGAGATCGTGATAACGATCCCGCTGGTCTCGCTGAACAATAAACAAGCAGATAATGGCCTCAGTGATGTGTACCTGGACAAGAAAACACCCGTGAATCCAGATCATGGAACCTCATACCGATTTACCTAATGTGTGTCTCTGTCGACTGATGGTGCTGCGGCTAGAATGGAAGTCATTTTTGCAGTAATTATCTAAGAATTACTCGCTGAAAGAGAGTACCGACGTATAGGTGGAATATAAAGAATGAAAGCACTTACCTCGTGTTGGCCAGCCATCTAGCAAAAACATAAAAGTACACACTATCAACCCAATGATTGGCATAATAACAATTTCAGAAGTTTTAGAGTTTTCCTACATTAAAAGCTGTCACCCATATTCCATACTTAACTTGAAAATATGATATTAGTGTCTCTTCTGGTGGCGCCAAATAATAAACAAACAAATAATGGCCTCTCCGATGCGCATCTAGACAGGGATGGTGCTGCGGCTAGGATGGAAATCATTTTGCAGTAATTATCTAAGAATTACCTCTTGATAAAGAGAATTGATGTGTAGGTGTAATATAAAGGACGAAATCACTTACCTAGTGTCTGGCTGGGATCTGAAAGGAACATGAGAGTGCATACTATTAGCCCAATAATTGGCATCATAACAATTTCAGAAGATTGAGAGATTTACTACATAAAAAACTGTCACGTACACCAAACTAAACAGGGAAAGAGGATGGTTATCACCCTCTGATGGCGTTAAACACTAAACAAATAAATAATGGCCTCCCCGATGTGTATCTGGACACGGAAAACCCGTTATTCCAGACACTGGACTCTCATGTTGACTAAACATATATGTGTCTTTGTCAACTTATGGTGGTGCGGCTTGGAAGAAAATCTACTTAGGAGATAAACGTATTGTGTTGGGAAATTAGATGAATGTTAGGTAGAATTGATAGTAACTTAATTTCATTTGGAACCGAACGCGTAGCCTAACATTCATCTAATTTTCCAACACAATAAGTTTATCTCCATTCTGCCATAGCCGACTTAAAATCGAAGTCCTTCCTTCCACGGAAGACACTGCGAAATCCGGCATGGTGCGAGAGGCGAATTGAACTCGTCTGTGAAGGGAGTGGAAGGTTCTGTTCGTATTTATTTAAACATTGCAACATATATAATATTCTGTCCAAAGAAAAGTAATAACTGTTTATTCAACGCAATAATGTAATACCTAAGAGCTTGGTTTATATAATCCCAACTCCACACGACCGAAACCAGCCTATTGTTTTGCGTGACGTGTTACTCTAACCCCCTGGCCACACTATAATGGAATCGTCTGACCTACATTTTTCTTGGAAGTGCAGTCGGTAGTTGTTGACAGTTTGAAAAGTTTGAAATGGGGACAGCCAGTGTTTACATTTTGAGTGACAGTGGAAACTACTTGACTGACTGTCGAATCTGAACCCTGCAGAATCGAAGAATAGATCCTTTTCTGATCGACCTACGACCTAACTATTCAAAGATTTGTATGACCAGCGAGTGTGGATCATGATTTCACCTACATGGGCTGTAGGTGCCTCCACCCCGGCATGCGACGAAAAGAGTGACAGTGCTGCTTTGTGTACATGCGACTAACTTGGGATTCCTTGGAACATTGTTTTCATCATTTGGGACTGGATTGTGGCCAAACTTTATTCAAAATGTAGGAACATAGATCACCAGCAGTGACAGCCTTGTGGGGAAGCTGGCAGACAGCAAAATTCTGGTGGTTCCATATTTGACATGTATTTTTTTAACGATGCAACGGGACAAGATGGAGTGTGAGTGGCATAAATTTTGTGTTTCGCCTGACCGTTATCTTGCGAATTTCCCATTGTTAAGATTCTAAACGGAAACAAATATACCATTTACCAGGTAGGTAAATGTTTAGTAAGGATTTGCTGCCCATTTTGTATAGATAGGGATGAAATTAACAAGGCTTTCTGATTTACATGTTAGATATTGTTTGTTTATGTTTACGGCTGTGTATTGTAATTGAGTTTGAATATTTTTATTATAGAAGGTTACATGATAGTGAGGTTCCATAATAATTGTGGAGGAAAAATCATAAAATAATTGTATTTTTCGAGTTTTAATCAATGTTTCATCAGCATTTCCATCAAGTCTGTTGTGTTGATATTAGCCATGTTGGTGGTCCAGCTGATGCGGCAGTGTTGTAAAAGTGCGAAGTGAAGCGGTCGTGAAATCAGACGAATTTTCAATCCAAAATTGATAGCGTCAAATCTTTTGACTGACCACTCAAAATCGAGCATTTCACGCAGCCATGGTAGAATTAGCGTTATTATCTAAGAATTACCGTTTGTTGACAAAGCGTACTGATGTATAGGTGGAATATAAAATACGAAATCACTTACCTGGCTTTTGGTGGCGATCTGGAAAGAACATAAAAGTGCATACTATTAATCAAATAATTGGCATCATTACAATTTCAGAAGATTTAGAGATTTACTACATTAAAACTGTAACATTCTCCAAACTAAACTGAGAAAGATCGTGATAACAATCCCTCTAGTCTCGCTGAACAATTAACAAGCAGATAATGGCCTCGGCCATGTGTATCTGGACAAGAAAGACCCCGTGAATCCAGATCATGGAACCTCATACCGATTTACCTAATGTGTGTCTCTGTCGACTGATGGTGCTGCGGCTAGAATGGAAGTCATTTTTGCAGTAGTTATCTAAGAATTACTCGCTGAAAGAGAGTACCGACGTATAGGTGGAATATAAAGAATGAAAGCACTTACCTCGTGTTGGCCAGCCATCTAGCAAAAACATAAAAGTACACACTATCAACCCAATGATTGGCATAATAACAATTTCAGAAGATTTAGAGTTTTCCTACATTAAAAGCTGTCACCCATATTCCATACTTAACTTGAAAATATGATATTAGTGTCTCTTCTGGTGGCGCCAAATAATAAACAAACAAATAATGGCCTCTCCGATGCGCATCTAGACAGGGATGGTGCTGCGGCTAGGATGGAAATCATTTTGCAGTAATTATCTAAGAATTACCTCTTGATAAAGAGAATTGATGTGTAGGTGTAATATAAAGGACGAAATCACTTACCTAGTGTCTGGCTGGGATCTGAAAGGAACATGAGAGTGCATACTATTAGCCCAATAATTGGCATCATAACAATTTCAGAAGATTGAGAGATTTACTACATAAAAAACTGTCACGTACACCAAACTAAACAGGGAAAGAGGATGGTTATCACCCCTCTGATGGCGTTAAACACTAAACAAATAAATAATGGCCTCCCCGATGTGTATCTGGACACGGAAAACCCGTTATTCCAGACACTGGACTCTCATGTTGACTAAACATATATGTGTCTTTGTCAACTTATGGTGGTGCGGCTTGGAAGAAAATCTACTTAGGAGATAAACGTATTGTGTTGGGAAATTAGATGAATGTTAGGTAGAATTGATAGTAACTTAATTTCATTTGGAACCGAACGCGTAGCCTAACATTCATCTAATTTTCCAACACAATAAGTTTATCTCCATTCTGCCATAGCCGACTTAAAATCGAAGTCCTTCCTTCCACGGAAGACACTGCGAAATCCGGCATGGTGCGAGAGGCGAATTGAACTCGTCTGTGAAGGGAGTGGAAGGTTCTGTTCGTATTTATTTAAACATTGCAACATATATAATAATCTGTCCAAAGAAAAGTAATAACTGTTTATTCAACGCAATAATGTAATACCTAAGAGCTTGGTTTATATAATCCCAACTCCACACGACCGAAACCAGCCTATTGTTTTGCATGACGTGTTACTCTAACCCCTGGCCACACTATAATGGAATCGTCTGACCTACATTTTTCTTGGAAGTGCAGTCGGTAGTTGTTGACAGTTTGAAAAAGTTTGAAATGGGGACAGCCAGTGTTTACATTTTGAGTGACAGTGGAAACTACTTGACTGACTGTCGAATCTGAACCCTGCAGAATCGAAGAATAGATCCTTTTCTGATCGACCTACGACCTAACTATTCAAAGATTTGTATGACCAGCGAGTGTGGATCATGATTTCACTTACATGGGCTGTAGGTGCCTCCACCCCGGCATGCGACGAAAAGAGTGACAGTGCTGCTTTGTGTACATGCGACTAACTTGGGATTCCTTGGAACATTGTTTTCATCATTTGGGACTGGATTGTGGCCAAACTTTATTCAAAATGTAGGAACATAGATCACCAGCAGTGACAGCCTTGTGGGGAAGCTGGCAGACAGCAAAATTCTGGTGGTTCCATATTTGACATGTATTTTTTTAACGATGCAACGGGACAAGATGGAGTGTGAGTGGCATAAATTTTGTGTTTCGCCTGACCGTTATCTTGCGAATTTCCCATTGTTAAGATTCTAAACGGAAACAAATATACCATTTACCAGGTAGGTAAATGTTTAGTAAGGATTTGCTGCCCATTTTGTATAGATAGGGATGAAATTAACAAGGCTTTCTGATTTACATGTTAGATATTGTTTGTTTATGTTTACGGCTGTGTATTGTAATTGAGTTTGAATATTTTTATTATAGAAGGTTACATGATAGTGAGGTTCCATAATAATTGTGGAGGAAAAATCATAAAATAATTGTATTTTTCGAGTTTTAATCAATGTTTCATCAGCATTTCCATCAAGTCTGTTGTGTTGATATTAGCCATGTTGGTGGTCCAGCTGATGCGGCAGTGTTGTAAAGTGCGAAGTGAAGCGGTCGTGAAATCAGACGAATTTTCAATCCAAAATTGATAGCGTCAAATCTTTTGGACTGACCACTCAAAATCGAGCATTTCACGCAGCCATGGTAGAATTAGCGTTATTATCTAAGAATTACCGTTTGTTGACAAAGCGTACTGATGTATAGGTGGAATATAAAATACGAAATCACTTACCTGGCTTTTGGTGGCGATCTGGAAAGAACATAAAAGTGCATACTATTAATCAAATAATTGGCATCATTACAATTTTAGAAGATTTAGAGATTTACTACATTAAAACTGTAACATTCTCCAAACTAAACTGAGAAAGATCGTGATAACAATCCCTCTAGTCTCGCTGAACAATTAACAAGCAGATAATGGCCTCGGCCATGTGTATCTGGACAAGAAAGACCCCGTGAATCCAGATCATGGAACCTCATACCGATTTACCTAATGTGTGTCTCTGTCGACTGATGGTGCTGCGGCTAGAATGGAAGTCATTTTTGCAGTAGTTATCTAAGAATTACTCGCTGAAAGAGAGTACCGACGTATAGGTGGATTATAAAGAATGAAAGCACTTACCTCGTGTTGGCCAGCCATCTAGCAAAAACATAAAAGTACACACTATCAACCCAATGATTGGCATAATAACAATTTCAGAAGATTTAGAGTTTTCCTACATTAAAAGCTGTCACCCATATTCCATACTTAACTTGAAAATATGATATTAGTGTCTCTTCTGGTGGCGCCAAATAATAAACAAACAAATAATGGCCTCTCCGATGCGCATCTAGACAGGGATGGTGCTGCGGCTAGGATGGAAATCATTTTGCAGTAATTATCTAAGAATTACCTCTTGATAAAGAGAATTGATGTGTAGGTGTAATATAAAGGACGAAATCACTTACCTAGTGTCTGGCTGGGATCTGAAAGGAACATGAGAGTGCATACTATTAGCCCAATAATTGGCATCATAACAATTTCAGAAGATTGAGAGATTTACTACATAAAAATGTCACGTACACCAAACTAAACAGGGAAGAGGATGGTTATCACCCCTCTGATGGCGTTAAACACTAAACAAATAAATAATGGCCTCCCCGATGTGTATCTGGACACGGAAAACCCGTTATTCCAGACACTGGACTCTCATGTTGACTAAACATATATGTGTCTTTGTCAACTTATGGTGGTGCGGCTTGGAAGAAAATCTACTTAGGAGATAAACGTATTGTGTTGGGAAATTAGATGAATGTTAGGTAGAATTGATAGTAACTTAATTTCATTTGGAACCGAACGCGTAGCCTAACATTCATCTAATTTTCCAACACAA